TTGAAGACAAATCAACTCATGGATAAAAAGTTAAAAGTCAACAATAAAAATGACAAAGTCACATCAACAAAAAGTGCAGTGAAAACAAAAGATTACATTCACAGTAAACACAATAGCTCAGAATTTCAGAACCCACAGCTGTAATGTAAGCAGCTATAAAAACTCTCTAAAGTAAACCAGAGAAGTGTGCTTTCATGTTAGAATTTCTCTGTATATGAAAGAGCAATCATCAATAGTGCAGTTTCATCTCATTCAAACATAAGCACAACTGTTGACAAACAAACAGATGAAGCAGGGTGACAGAATAACTCTTATTAAACTAGTAACAAATGCTTTAAATAGAAGCTCTGAAATCTACTGGCCTGGTTCCATGAATGATATCCCAATCAATTCTTAGATGGTTTAGCAACATTAAATATCCTCTAGAGTATCCAATTTATTTATTTACAATATATACACATGCATGCATACAACTGGGCTGCCACTGTGAGGCCACATAGCAGATTCAATACATTCCAGAATACAGAAAAAGCATAAGCTATTTTCTTATGTTTTAACATGCATTTTTACAGCAGACAGGCAATTCAAGTATGACAGAAGAAAGAATAAAGGCAGAACAATTATCAATATTTCAGACTGACTTAAAAAAATATATCACATGTAAAGCTATAAATTATGTTGAGCCTAACCCTACAACTGCTATGTTAACAGAGACAGTGGCTTAATTCTTACAAGCCAAGCTTCTCTGAAACTGTTTCAAGAAAGACTGTAGGCCTTTTAACAACTGACTAGCAGAATTTGGATTCATCAGCACATTTTCAAGCTTCCTAATAACTGGCCTGCACCACTGTATGTGTTCTTGCCTAACTCTATTTGGATGAAGCAAGAGAATCTAGTACTAATTTTGTGACAGGAAATGTTGCAGGTGTATGCTATATTGTCAATGTAACAGCATTTTTCCAAAGGAAATTTACAACAAGGCTAGAAACCAGACATAAATACAGTATTTCATAAAATCATGCAACAGAAAAAAATATTTCCTAATGGAGGTGTAAAAATAATTCCAAATGAATGTAAACCAAAAATATAATTGATGATCCTCCAATACATTTTTTCATACATATTTAGGTAAAAAGAATTTGGAAAATACAAGATGGACAGTTAAAATGTATTCAGTATGGCCAAGCCAGTCCCACATTTCTTAAGAATTTCACATTTGCAATTATTCTATTTAGCCAGTGCTCTGTAACAATAAAAAAAATGAAGTAGGAAAAATAGGGTGAAGAACACTGAAAGTGAACAGAGAGCAAAAAAACAAGCTAGGCCAATGAATACAGTATGCCTAACTTGAGTTTCATTATCACTGCATTAAGACAGCTAATTTATGGTTAAGATTCTCCACAAGTTCTGACATTTCCAGAACAGCCAATAAAAGCAAAATGGCATCATAGATTGTAGGAAAAAAAAAAAAAAACAGAAATAAAACAAAAGCTGTGGGAATTAATAAACTGCTACAGATTCTGAGGTTGTGAGAATATTACACGTGGTTGATCACAAAACATAAAGCAAGCTTTTTGAAACCACTACTGGGTGTTCTAGAGACCACCAAATCCCAGTCAACAGACTTCTCAGAAAAATACATAACATAGCTGTTCCCTTTTCCATGGATTTAGTAGCAGGCAATATAAAATGTGTTCAGTTTTCATCCAATTCTTCCCTATGTCCTGCTACCTTTCACTACTATTGAATACTAAATATAAAATACAATGCATCCTAATTCTTACCTGCTCTGAGAAACAATGCTGTAACAAAGTAATTCCTGAGCCAAAAAGTTTCTATTTTCACAAGGTTGGTACAAACCAGAGGAAACTGTTAGCTGAGAACAACCTAGTAAGTCAAATTATTTCATTCATTGAAGTGTTGCCCCTTTTGGTAAACAGCAGAAACATACCATGTCACAAAACAGCTTCTAAAACTTCACTCATACAGCATTCTTACACATGAAAAACCACCTTACAAATTAATAAAGATGAAATAATTATGAAGGTTATTTTTCTTGTTTCTTTCCCATAACACCACATAAAAAAGCTAGGATTTCAGCATTACTTATTTGTGAGTGTCTAATTGGCTTAGCTTGCCCTTTAAAGAAATACTGCCCATTTTAGTAACAGAGTTAAAGACCTAGGAAGTTTTAAGAGTTTATATGGACATCAGCATGCACATGCATAAAGAACATCAAACTCTGCCTCTCAGCTTCCCAAAAAAGAGAAACAAAAGCCTTACAGCTCTGCATATGTTTCACTGTGCTGTGCCGTCATGTAGAAAGATCAGGGTTTAAAGTCTTATGATCCTGCATGGAATTGCAAAAAAAAAAAACACCCCACCATTATCTGCTAAGAAATACCCACTTGATTTTGCATCAGAAGCATTTGTAACAGTCACAGCCCTGTCTTCCTACATAAAGAAGTGGCAGTGTTTACCAGCCAAAGATGAGATACAGAATTGGATAAGGAAGCATGTGGGAAGTGGATGAATAACTTTGCATGAATTACCTTTCAGTTACTTCTTCCATTTAAAAGTATCAGTAATAATACTAGTCATTAAGATTTAAAATAACATTTGGACGATAACACTGCAAAGTTACAGTAGAGGTAGGAATGTACAATATATTAGGAAACCTCTTTAACTTTGAGGCATCTGGCTGGTGGTTACTGCCAAAGACTGAACAGCATCTGCTCTTACTTTAGCAGTTTATATTCCGACTCTAGTGAATGGGAGCACAATCTCTGAAACAGCCTTTGGGGAACACTACTGAGTTGCTCGACAGAGCTCTTACTCAGAAAAGAGAAGGAGATTAATATTACAGAAAACTTGAAAGATCTAGCTTCTGAGAAAGAAAGAAGAGCAGTTTCCTATTACTGTACATACCACAAATCTCTCTTTTACTAAAACATTAAAAGCGTGCCCCAAAACTGAAGTGATTAAGTATGAATAGACTTAAAGGTAGAAAATAAAGTCTGTTTAAGTCCTATTCAGGTAAAATAAAGAAGGAACAATGTATTTTATGTCATTTGTCAACAGGCTTAACAAAAACAGAAGAATGAAGACTCACGCATCATTCTTTTTCCCAATGTGCTTGAGAAGGTCACAGCCTCCTTTGCTTACCCTTCGTGTGTCTAGGCACAGCAACATATGGTAAGACTGAGTTTTGTCGCGACCTTACAGTGTCGTTATTTTAAGTGCCCAGTAGCACAAACTACTAAATTTGTGTGTGGTCCTATGCAAAACAAATCTGGCCACACAGAGTGAAAACAAAGCTTCTAAAACTTCAAAACCAGCTGAAGGAATTCTCTCCTCAAGAGTCATAGATCCCAGATAGTAGCCACTAGTGAACCCCACAGCCACTTTCAAAACTATAAAAGGCTTCATGTAAAGCCAAAATAAAGCTCTAAAAGTGGCTTCAGGAGATCACTAGGAGTGGCCGCTCTTCTGGATTCACTGCTTTTGAGAAGTAAATCCCTGCAGCTGCTTTTAAAAGCTTTGAAAGTTTCATTTCAATTATCAAAGCCAATAAAGCTTCAAAAACAGCCATAGGGATTTGTTCCTCTGAGGAGCAAACCCCAAAAGGCAGTGATGAATAGAGTGATGGATTCTGTGGCTCTTAAAGTATGTACAGATTCCTTTAAGTCCTGCACTTGTAATTACAGCTTCATGTTGTGCAGCAATTGTTACACCCAGACAGTTCATTAAGGCTTATATGGCAAATTTATTACTGATTTCCCATTCTTTTAACAGTTTTATATCTGCTTCCTTTTTGTTTCCTTACACCATTATTATCTATTGTGTGAGCACTCTGCACAACAGTTACTCAAGTTTAATTGAAACCTTGTTGGCTTCCTATCCCAGGTGGTGGTGAACCATCTCACAAAATGCTGTGCATACGCCTTCCCAGATAGTATCACATAATGCCATCATCGCACCATCGCAACGTAGTAACTACAGCATGCAAAATAACTTATTTCTCCTAGAACTTAAAAGGGCACTAGTTAAAATCCAAGAATGAAGCTTGACAATAAGCCAGTGAAAAACTTTACCTGCAACTGCAATATAAAAAAGGCTTCCATTAATTCAATGAACACAAATAACACAACATTTCAGAAGTATCATGACTTAAAAACCCTATGGTACTGATGTGTAACAAGCTTTTTCTATCTTTAAAATTACTAGATCCCTAAAAATTTTACTAGTGATACAAGCATAGCTCTAAAAGAAACACATAAATCACACCCCTACATAATTTGAGCTTAGTATCTAAAGACACTGATAGCTCTGAAAATATCACAAAATCGTGTTGAAAAAGATGCATTTAGGTACTAGAACATACACAGTATATTAAGTATGTCATATGAAATACATTCTGAGGATACTTACAAACCTTAAAATATCACTAATACTGATGAGTTATTTTTCCACTAGTTTTTAACTTCTGTTTTCAAATAGCAGAACAAAAAAAATACACTTTATCACCAGGACAAATAAACACACCTTTTAAAAAAAAAAGCTATGCGAAAATCACAATTAACTTAAACAGATGCACGTGTTAAGAAATAACTGGTTTGCACAGTGAAAGAAAATTCTGACAGATAAATTCAACATTCTGTTAAATGTTATTCACAGGTGTCCTCTGTGACCTGTACTACTTACTTTACCTCTCTCTTTCAATCTTCTCATGTGTAAAACATGAAGGAGGATTGTGAGAAATAATTAATGTTTGCAAAGAGCTTTGAGATCCTTGGATATAAAAACAGAGGGAAAGCATGTTTAAAAGCACCAGTATACTTTTTTTTCAATGTGACATAATTAACTTTTATCACAAAAACCTTGAAAGTTTAGTAATACAAGATCAAGCAATAAAACTCCTAAAAAAACAATCTTAAGCGCTAAGCATACTCAGTTATTCCAAAGGAAACACTATCAAAAGGAAAGGACATGGTTCTCACCAATTTCAAGTATGCGTTTATGTAGAGGTATAGCAGCAAGAAAGGGTTCATCTTTACAGGACTGTATGTGAGTTCCAGCCAAGTCAGAGTTGGCAGCCAAAATGCGGGCACTTTCTTCATTAAGATTAACACCAGCCATAGAGGGAACATCACTGACGTCATCATCATCTCTATGATAATAAAACAAACAGACAAAATAATTCTGCATGTGGTACATTCATTTTGTGATTAGCTGCTTTGCAAGAAGTCATCATCATTGCAACATGCCCGGTGGCTGGGCCAACTTGAGCACAACCACCAAGTTCTGTTTTCATAGAACATATTCTAGATTCAGAAATAACTATTTCTTTGATCACATTAGGAAAACTTTGGAAGCAGAACAATCTGTCTGTACCAGAAGGTGTGACTGAAGTGTCCTTTCTTCACCTGAGAGTCAGTAATATTAATGAAACCAGGATGGTCAGGCAATGATCACCATTAAAGACACAGCATTTGGCTATTCTTTTTATGCTGAAAACTAGAAGTAAAATAATAAATAAAAACTCCACAGACATTAAAAGGAAAAATATGAATTTGGAATACTGCATTATTTCACAAATTCCTATCAAAATGGACACCAATAGTCAGGAAAGATTCTTTGACCACAATGAATTCTTGGGTAAATTTGGGTTCCAAGCGTGGTTTCAATGTGCACTGGTACTTTCCATGGCAACATACAAAAATTAGCTAAATATGTCAAGTAGTCTTAGAAAAATTAGATGCTATCATCTTCTCAAATACAATTTGAGAAGATGATAGCAGGACTTCACTTGTTTGCCCTGCAGTAGCCTTCCTAACAGCTTGAGGAAGTACACTGACAAATCTGAGTTTCCATACCTGTATCTCCCAAGCATCTTTTACCTCTATGAGGTATGACTCATAATTGCGGAAATAACCATCTGTTTTTCAGCACATTCTGTTTAGGACTGTTACTGACATGAACACTATTTCAGCATATTCTAGAAGCAATTACACAACTATAGAGACTATAAACATGAAAAGACTCACATACATCCAAGTCCAGACTCCACCTACTGCATAAAGCAAACAAATAAAAGCTTAATTTGAAAGATTTAAAAACCCAAAACATTACACAGATGCAATCCCAGAATATTTTCTGTCACTTGTTACAAGTTCAATGCCTACAGTCAAAACCAAAGCTACAAGTAAGGTCTGAGGACAGAATGAGATAAATCTAGAAATCTATTATCTGTCCCCTTCTACACTTTGATATCTGCACTAGAGCAGCCCATTCTGGTGGAAGACTTCTATGTTTTCTTAGAGAATGGATTTCTTCAAGAAGGGACTTCTGTTCATATAAACCTGGATAAGTGTGCTTAACAATTGAGGCAAAAAATGGAAAATTTTTCAATGATTGCCAGAAAAATGCTACACAAACGAGCTTTTATTATTTCCCATGAGTACTAAGCATATGATTTCTTCTCTGTGAAATTCCTTAGGACAATATCACAAAATTGATCTTCCAACTTGACAGTTTTCATGAGGAGTCTAAAGGATTTTCACTTTCACATTTCCCATAGTATGTGTATGATACTCATAGGAGGGACACAGGAACTGCCATGGAGAAACTGGGCTCCTACGCATTCAGCGCATGGATGACCAAAAAAACTCTTCCACCTTGTCCAACCAGTTGTGAAACTGTCCCCAAATACCACAGCTGATAAATGTACTTGGCCACATAGCAATTAACAATGATTTAAATATTTCAGTGACGAGTTAAAAGATTCTAGCTATAAATGAAAAACAGGAACTAAAGCTGAAGAAAGGGGGAAAACTAAGATTTTGGGAGGTTAAAAACCTCAGCGCTCAAAACAGAAAAAGCATCACCCACCCAAAGTAACCTACCCAGGAGTCACAAGGTCCAAATCCATCAGGCCTTTTAAACAGCAGCAAAACCAAATACAGTTAAAAGGAAGTTCTCATAAATCAGACTTAAAACTATGTAAGATATAAGAAGCCACTGGAAAAAAGAATTAAGCCCAGAGCTTCATCTTCTTCAAGCAAACATCCATAAAAAAAAAAAATCAAGATAGCACTCTTGACTTCAAGAAAACAATTTTAAAAAGTTTATACTGACCTCTACTTTTACTTAATAGCAGAGAAATACAATCTATCTTGTACCTTCCTTTTGTTTAGCATTTTCACTGTTCCAATTTTAATTCCTAGTATAGGTCTGAGAACATATTATAAATAAACAAATATTGCCTGAAATAAACCCACACAATTAATTTCAGCACAAACCAGGATTCCAATGAAATTACCAAAAATCAATGCAACTGCACTTATAATGATCATTACTAACTGCTGGAAAGAATAATCTTCTTCCATCTTAAATTAGCAATCTAATGCAAGTACATTTATTTTTTTAAAATGTTACATGGAAAATAAATATGTTTTAAGCATAGTTGGGACTAAAATTTTTTCAGTCTAAAGGGAAAAACTATCAATATGTTCTTTTCAACTTTGAGGAACTTCACCATGAGTAAAAGCTTGGATTTGGATACTGAAACACACACACACACACACACATTTACATATTAAGAGGGCTGGCATTCTTTCAAAACTGTTTCCTATAAAAGTCAACTTTTAAGTCCAGTTGAGTTTCCAGAAGTCATCCTGTGGAACAAAGATGCCATCCAGTGGTCGTCTAGATTGATGATTAATGTCTATCTTTCCCTTTTCATCCCAGAACAGTATTTAACAATTTCATGTTTCTTGGTGTATATTACTGTGCTCATACTAATTACATTGTCTCAGTAATTATTTCTAGTTTTTTTACTAGATTAAATTCCGAGTCTTATGGGATAATTCTAACATCCTGACATACATGCTATTTTTAAAACAGCATGGTTTCTCAAACTCCTTCCAAACACAAGCTGCATCTTAAAATAGTCTGAGCTGAGCTCTTCCTCCTGCATTCAACCTCCTGTAACATACCTCCCCCCTCTCTTCTTCATTAAAAAGATTTGTGCAATTACAAAAAATAATCTTACCTGAAAATAAGAAAAAACAAAGTATTCGCACAGTTGTCCATAACACATTAAGAATGGTTCTGTCTGCTTCTTGCCTCATTGCGCATGTAATGCCACTGAGCCTTATTCAATACAGTTAGGAAGTGGGAGGATAATACAAGAGTACAAACACCATATCTCCATCCTTGAAGATATGTAGACTGGCCAGTCCCTGATCTAACCAAACCTGCTCCAAGTCAGAAGTTAGACTAGTTGACCCCCCAAGGTCCCTTCCATCTGAAACTATTGTTACCTAATAAAAGGGAGAAAAAATGTTTCCACTAGTTCTTTATATTGGCCACAGTCTGAACTGTGGCTAAGTTGACAGTTTGCTACTTTCATTGTTGTCAATGGTAGATTATGTCAGTATGTTCATTTCTCTGGACTACAGAAACCTCTTACAGTACAAGTGCAAGCCTGGATCTCTATTGTAAACTAAACAAAAAAATATAAAAAAAATTCAAATTTGCATCCTCAAATACTAACAGAGTTGAAAGTTCAACTAGGTGGAGTATGTCTAGAGCTCTCTGAAGAATTCAGCAACAACAAACTTTAATCTCAAAAAGTGACAGTAATTCATTAATACAACAACTTTATGTTACAGAAGTTCTGGGTTGAAAACTCTGCTTCATAAACCAGCTACTACAATATCCAGTAGAGTTCATTAATAAATACTGACATTAAAGGTTAAGCTGTAATTTGCAAAATTCCTCATTGCTTTTATGTAATTCTTTCTTCTATTTTCCACAGTCCAGAACAGAGGAAACTGAAAATAACAAAGTTCACATTTCCATTTCTAGTGACCAAGATTTTGCTCACAAAAGTGAAAAGCTCAAGTAAGTTATTTTAAAGAAAGCAGAATATAAAATAATGAAACAAATATGCAATAATAAAACACTAAGGGCAAAATAAATTTATACATAACACAACTATTTTTCAAAATTCTTGCTTTGCTTTAGATGCTGGTTTGCCTTCTGGCTAAAAACACATTCTTCACACACGCTGGGAATGCTGAGGAAAACTAGTCAGCATTCAGAGGATTAATACAGATTTCCAGCTCTGTGCCTTCAGGCTTAATAGTCAGACATCTATTTGTCCTCAGGAGAGGTTAGGGGTTGAAATGCAAATATGCAAACAACTGAATTCTTTGTTACGATATCAAGAAAAAGCTTGATATTTGCTGCTGTTTAATAAATCCTTGAAATTTTATGGACTTATTTAAATGCAGCTTTGTGTTTTACTATTTTGAAGGAGAAAACAATGTAAGGAAACAAACACATTCATTCTGACTAAAATTTGTTCTCTAGAGGAAAAATGACATACACCCTTGACAGCTTATTTACCAAACTCACTAAAGATTTATTGATTTATCAATCAGCGCCTTGAGCATTTGCTTCTCCCCAAGGGAAAATTAACAATTCCAGCTAACCTAATATATTCTATGTATAAACTAAGTGAATGCAAGAATCAATCCTGGCACGGTTTACAACATCCAGTTAAAAAAAATGCTGTCCCTTTTGGTATATGTAAAATTGAAAGCTGTACTAACGAAGAATAAATGTTCATGTTGCTTACAAACATAAAAAATACTTATTAAGACAGTACAATTGAACCCAACAGACATTTTAAATCATTTAAATACTCAGTGGGAGGCAAAAGCATTGGAAAATAAAAAATTGAATGATTTTGCTTCTAGATTAATACTAAGTACTACCACTATTAGTTGCAACGCTGACATGCCTCAAAGCAGAGCTGTTTCAAAGAGCTACAAATTCTCTTCTACTTCACCTGCAAAAGCATAAGCCTGAAAATTAATTACTAGTTTGATGATGTCAGAGCAACATAAGAGATACAGAATATGAAAATCTAAGAACACTTTGTCATGTAACAAAGAAAGAAAATGTTTAAACACAAATAAAACGTACTTTCATCAGTGGAAAAAAAAATTATGGTAGCATAAGCAAAATGCAGTAAACATAAGACTAGCTTTTCACTACAAAAAGTAAAAATATCAAAATACACATTAAAAAAACCTCTGAAGTACAAAAGAGCTGGTGTAGCAACTCAATGCATCAATGCTACTGTGCTGAACCTTTGCAGCACCTGGTTAGTACAGGGACCCACAGAATGCCCCAACCTCTGCTACTGAAGAGTAAGCACGTGAAGAATATATACAATGATGTCTTCTCTTTACAACCAGGAAAACAACCCTACACACAGTCACAAACACACACCAAAAAAACCCAAACAAACAAGCAAACAAACAAAGCAAAAAAACAAACCAAACAAAAAAAAACCCACAAACAAACAGCAAAAAAAAACAACAACCCAAAACTGAAAAAAAAAAAACAAAAACACAAAACCCACTAACAAACCCGTATAGTATATTCTCTATGCTGATAAGGGCATAGCTGCAGAAGCTTAAGGACAGGACACCTTCTCGTCACGATACATTCCATATGAATGTTAGAATCTGATAGCATGAAACCACCCATTATTTTTTAAAAACTTCATACACATGATTCCCCTTACCAGAAGTTTTATTATAACCCACAGAACTGAAGGCTTTACTAAACATTAAAAAGTGCATTTAGGGAAAAATCCTCAAGATATGTTGTGACCCCCTCCTTCTTTTTAAAATAGAACTAAGTAAGCAAGTTGTCACCCAATAATAGTAAGAAAAGGCAGGAATTATTGTAAAACACTGCCCTCTGGTGTTAAGCCAATTCTAAATTCTATTTTATATTTAAGATCACCCCCCCCAAGCACACCCCACCCCACCCCCCCATCCTCCGCATTTTTCTCTTGTTATTTTTTATTTTTTTACCTGAAAGAACCACCTCCAGGGTCATTCAGCTTGTTTTTCTGATTTGCAGAGACCTGAACACCAAAGCCCCCAGGACTTTTGCTGGCTTGTATTGTTGGTGCCTTCCCTACTGTGCCTGAAAAACACCAAGCAATGTTATTATGAGCTGTCTTAGGCAATTTACATCAAAGAACCTTCTGTCCAGGAACTAAATTTAACTGTCTGTAAATTGCAAACAAAGGAAGTTATTATTTTTAAAGATTACACTGCTGAAGAAGAACAATTTAAAAAAAAAATTTACATTAACATTACAGTTTGTTCAATATTTATAAGATACTGGGGACTCCAAAACTGAAAACCATTTGCCATAACTGGTTATAATACACATAATGGCTATAAGTGTGTTTGCAATTGCCATTAAACCACTTTTCTAGCTAATCTGCACAGAATAAAGAAGCAGAATTTGAAATGGTGTTGATACAGACGATTTAAGTCACTCAGGGGATTAACTATGCCTTTTACATTTTTTATATAGTCATTGTTCTTGGTTACAGTGAAACGCATGTATTTTCAGAGTTGAAAGCATTAAATATTTTAGAATATTTCATGTTGTATGTAAAGGAAAAGACACTTTTGTAAAATTTGACACAAACTGGAAGTAAAACTGGGCTTTCTAAACGAGCCAGGCTGTGGTGGACCATTCAGCTTCTTGTGACAGTAAATTAAAAAATTTATACTAATTCCTCTCTGATATTCAAGGCCAGGTTGGACAGAGCCTTGGGTGACATGGTTTAGTGCGAGGTGTCCCTGCCCATGGCAGGGGGGTTGGAACTTGATGATCTTAAGGTCCTTTCCAACCCTAACCATTCTACGGTTCTATGATTCTAATACCTAATAAAATTTGTGTTGCTAGTTAGAAAAATCAACAGACCCGTATTATTACTATTAAAAACATTTCATCAGTATACAAATGAAAAAGGAGTGATAAATGGAACTTTTGGAGTAAGCCCTCCTTTACTACTTAAACATGTTTACTTGGGTTGTATTTTATATTTCCTTCAATCCCACCTGTGTTTTGGCATGTGAAAATAATTAATTTAAGTCTGCTTAACTTAAAAGATCTCACCTTTTTTTCAATCGATTTTATTGAGCGTTACATACACATAGTACTTAAGACTCTGAGAGGATATGAGGTTATTTCTACACATCTGTAACTCAACTGCATATAAATGACATGCTATGAACCTTAGTAGAGCTGCATTACTTTTCTTTCAGGAATTATAAAAACCTGAAATGTGTTACCCAAACAAATCCTTGTGAGAACACTTCTTTGCTAAAACAAGTGTTAGCTTTGAATGAGTCCAGCATTACTTTCTTTTATTTTGAAGTCTTCATCAACTTCAACATATGATCATAAAGCTAAACTGATCTAACAGTATTTGTTCAGTTCTTCAATCTGGATAAATCAACCGTTGTGTGGACTCTCAGCATTAGCAAATACAAAACAAGATTTAGGACCTGAGGCTCCAAGCCTGGGGAACAAAAAATATTTTGTCATCAGAATATTCAGAGTCCATGAGATGTCATAGATAGCATTAGTTCATGGACAGGACAGTTCATCTATCTATTTAAGATTAACTAATTGAAAGGTACGTGAACAGTACTAAGTGAACTGGAAGAAATAATAGAATAATAAAAATTAGCAGATCTCTGCTTTCTACAACTAACATCAAGGAGATTAAAAGTGTGTTAACCTTGAAAATTATTGCGGTGGCAAAATTAAGGTAACAGTGGAATTAACTCCTCCAGAATCACAACTACATTCCTTTAGAACTAGTATTAACAGTTTGTTTTCTACAGATGATATGATAAATTTTGGTAAAAAAAAAAGAAAAAACAAAAACAGGTACAGCAAGAGATCAGTTAGTTAGCTTCCTGGTGTCAAGAAAAGAGTATGTCTACACTGGATATGGAAAAATAAGTCTCACTTTCTTTCACCCCATGTATATGTACTTCCACTCAAATGGATCTGCTAAAGCAAATATAAGTTTTGGGGTGACATAGAAGCTTTCTGGTTTAAATCACAAATCACCTGTGGGCCTAGATAGTTCATGTGATTGGTAATGACATACAGAGTCTTTCACCACTGCATCCTTGTTTCAAAACTTTTAGTAGCAAGATTTAGAGAAATAAGCCCAAATTTAGGAGCTTAGTTGTATTTCGGCACAGGTTAAATAGCTGCAATGAATATGCTGGGTAATTATTCCATGGCTCAATTCTCCCATTCATAAGGTACAATTCACCTTACTATTATACTGACAAGTGATCTGATAAAGGAGCGTGAATTTTTCTGGATGTAACTATAGTGTCACTTTCCCCAGTGTGGAAGTAATTTTATTAATATCAGAGTCCTTAAAGCCTGTATATTTGTACAACTGCTTTAAAAAGCGTTATACTCTGTTCACATAGATGCATTAATATTAAGACACAATACACTAGGAGGTTCACTCCAATCTGAGAAGGAAAATGCACCATTTGGTGGAAGGTGGCTCAATTCTGGTGTAACTAAAATCACACTCCACCGAATTATACTACTTTATTTTTCTATATAGACCATATCCTATTACTATTTACTTCCTTCTATAGGAACGCCTAGGCCAGTATACAACATCATTATACTGGTGTTTAACACAAAGTGTTAGCAATAAATAAATAATAAATATATAAAGTTTTAACAATGTATCAAGATCAAAATAATCTGGTATCTGACCGTATGCCGTAGCGGCATTTCTTAAGAGTTGCAAGCACACAGACAGACTTTTCACCAGACAGGCTGCAGGATGGGCAGTTTTAGAATGGGATGTTTTCTAAATTCTTGTGTAATTAAAAGAACATAGTGGTGAGCTTAAACAAGCTTGCAACTAGGAATATGCTCATCTGAAAGCAGGGGTTTGCATGAATTTGCCTTTATGAACCATTGTCTTCTTTAAGTCAGACTGCCAACTAAGTTACATTTTGTTGGCTGATCAATTGTTATTATGAATAAATTTGTATTCCAAAACTAGTGTTTAGAAAGCAGATGCCAGTATCATGCAAATTCTTGGCACATTGTTGACTTTCACAACTCAGAGGCTGAACAAGCACAGAAATTAAATCAGCCTTCAATCTCAGACACATTAGTCAGAAGTGGAAGTTCACGCTATAAGATGTTGAATACCTTTCGTGTTAATAAAGTCAGGACATGAGTATCAGTGCTATCAAGTATCTGGCAACTTTAATGGCATTTCTTCCTAACTTGGAAAAACAGCCTACAAGATTACAGCAACAGTTTGGTCTCCATGTCCATTCAACCTTTGGATTCTCTGAAGAGAACAGCAGAACATCAACTGCTGTTAACGGGTTTTGATGCTTTCTTTTCCAAGAGGACAGAGAAGACCAAGCAGTTAAGTCAAATAGGCAGGAACACGTTTTGTGAGTTTAAACGAGTTTGATTTCTGAGTATCTAAATATGACAAGCTCTGTATTCCATTACAAACCCTGAATCATCTAAATGCCCACACCCAAAAGGATACTTGCACACGTGATCAGGAAAAAAAAAGACCAAGCCTAGTAGGTCTAGTGGTGGAAAGAAACAAATGGTTATTTATTAGAAAGTAAGAAGGCTTCAAGAACCCTCTTAGAAAGTGGGATGTATAAGCCAGGCATTAATTCACCTGTGCAGAGAGATATGAGGAACTTGCACTCAAGCCACTCCTCTTGCTCCCCTGGCTGATCATGGCATGTCAGTTTGCTGCATTTGGGGGTTGAGAAATTTCTCTGGAGTTCCTATCTTGACCTCTGTAGCTGCAAACACAGTGACTATCATGTTCTGCTTCAGCAGTAAGTTAGAAGTAGGGTGATTACACCAAGGCATCTTCTAGGTTCAGGGATAAAACAAACTGATTTCTTTCTTGGCCCAGAGTTACAAGCTTAGGACAATAATTGTGACGTTTTTCAAGAACCTTCCATGAACAACTGCTGAGCAAAGGACTAAGCATGTGAGTTCCAAAACATTTAGCTGTGTTGGTCTGAAATACCTTGAAACTGCATAGCAAAAACATGCATTCCTCAGCCAGCATGAATAAAAAAATATATGTCAAGCCTGCCAATGTCAACACTTTAAAATTTTCCCATGCTACTAGTTTGTATTTACAATGAAATTCATACAAAGGTAACAATCTCACTAAAACATTTAAACCCATACCTTGTGGTCTAATGGTCTGAGTTATTACCACTGGCATCCTAATCTGGGTAGTCTGGCAAGCAGGGGTTCGTTTCACAGTTTGAGCAGATGTTGACTGGATAATCTGCTATTATTAAAAAAAAGTATACTTATATTATACTCTTTATACACAAACACACACAACGTAAATACACTAATACCTGTAATTACTAATATAAGCATGTGGATCTCTAAAAGCACAACCAGCGAGTGACAAAAGTCATATTCATGTAATGCATGTGGTTGTGTGTGTGTGTATATACCTATTTTGTCATTATGCCTTAAAAAAAAAAAAATCATACTCGACACAAATGTCATGTCACAACCTTCATCAAAAATCTATTTCAAAGTAAATATTAAAGTTTAGACTTTTTTCTTCGCAAGTTTTACTAGGAAGAAAAACATTTTTGTAGAAGAAAATCCTGCAACAAGTTTAGTGGTTTCCACCTACAATCATGAGGCCTTTCACTATATAGCTACACTTTAAAAAAAAAAATATTAAAAGTAAATTCAAAAATATTATGGGTTCTGAAGTCAGATATGCGCAAGAAAGAAAACGTTTTGTAGCAATCATGTACTATTCATCTTTTAAATGTTAACTGGTTAAACTCAAGGTTTCACTTACTACTAAGCCAAGTTCTGAAGCCCTTACCCAAAACTGAAACTGGGTTAGAAACTTATAATTTGACCCATAAACAAATTAAATCAAAAAGAAAAAGTCCATAAGGGCTACGTGTAAGCAACAGCAAAATGTATGTTCATGAAATCAAGGACAAGGTAGGCATGCATGTAACAAACAGAGGAGTCTAAAAGATGCGTGAATGCTTCAGAGCTGGAAAAAGAAGTCCATACATAAACTTGGAAACAAAATATGGGCAAATAAAATAACCACAGCTCAGGTATGACAACTTGAGAAGTCATCTGCTCTTCAGTCACAACCGTGTTAATGTGTCTGCTGTTCCCAAGTTACAGGTATCAGTCTCATATCCACAGGGTGCAGTATTCCCTCATAGAGCACAACATGCCACACAACACATGGCTACTTGAAGCAAACAGGAACCACTGCACCTTTGTTCAGCACCAGTTGGCATTATTCTTACAAATTATATCTAAAACTGTACTATTAGCTGAATAATGAATGGCCACATCTCTGACTTGCAAGTATGCTATGGAGAAAGGAAAGGAGAAACAGCATTTTTAAATGAGATGTAAAAATAGAGAATAAACAGGCTATGGAATAAATAAGAAATTGTTCCATCAGCAGGAACTACAGCTCCCATGAGGAGAGGGTGAAAACTACAAACAAGAAAACAGTAATGAGGGAACAAGACCTGTGATGTTGTCTGGAGAAAAAGAAAAAAAACAAACCCAAACCAAACAAACAGGGCCATTCTGAAGTTACAAAATTGCATCCTGTACATCCTAAAATACAGCAGTTTAAGTCTTAATAAACCTGTGGATGTAGAAGTATTAGCAATAGCTACCTTGTAGAAAGAGAAAAAGGGAAAAAATTATTAAGGAGTGAGCTTTAACTACAGACAATGAAGGAGAATGTACTAAGCACAAAAACGGAGCAAATGGATGTCAATTTACTTGTTCAAGACAGGCAGTAAGTATATAGTGACATTCTGAGAGGAAAGAGTGAAGTAGCTACCATGCTTAAAACAGGAAAGAAATAGAGGTGGCAAGTAAAAATGAGGGGAAAGTGGAATTTGACTGCATTTTGATGCACAGGAAACATGTACAAGTGTACATATACATGTACTTTCAATAAGTAAAGAGGTAGAACAGCCTGCAGAAAACAACCAAAAAAAAAAACCCAACCCAAAACATTGGTACAAAACCCAAGGAGAATGTTGCCACTTTCATAGTAATTTTTTGGGTGAGTTTTCAGAGAATAGTGAAGAAAAGCAGCCACACCTTAACTGGGCAGAAGCCAGGGCAAAAAGGAGATGTGTGCGACCTGTGGATAGAATTACTATCTGGTATTACAACAATCGTCTGTGATTTCATTTTTTTTCCCCTGTGAAGCAAGCAACTTCTACAGTTCAGAATCAAGTTCTATTTCACGTGTTCAATATTCCCATGTGAATGCCCTAAAAGATTACCCACTAACACCATAAAAGACAGAACAGCATTTAACCATTTTAAGATTACATAAATAATGTTAATTATTTCCTTGCTATCAAACACATTCAAAACTGTCCTTTGGTAAGTACGAGGACTTCAACATATGTAGAAGTGCTGCAAGTATAGAAAATGACTGAAAAATAACTTTTCCAAGGGGCACAGATCAAAATCATCATCTTAAATTTCATACAGAAACCAATCAGCAACAAGTGTATACTCTCTAAAAGGAAAAACAGCACCTGAACTCAGAGCAACATTTTACACTAACTTATATTCCAGTTTCTATGCCGTTTTAAGATACCTTTCAACACAGATGTCATCTTCAGAACTGGAAGTGATTAAGGAATAAACATTAGCAATTTGTTTCTGAAATAGAATGTGTAACCTTCCTTGGCAGCAAACAAGGAACATAGTTGTGATGTTGATGATGAAACAATTACTTGACTGTGCATTAAAATTTATAAACAACCTAAACCACTCTTCATCAATTAAAATAATTCTATCTGTTCTAACTCTCTTGTCTATTTTGCTAACAGCATAAACATATTATTATGTCCTTAACTCAGCATGAAAAGTATAGACAACAAACAAGGTACTAGCAAGCTAGTCTGGGAGATTGTTAACTAACTATATTATTTCATATTTCTCACATCTTAAAATCACACACAATGCGTGTACCCCATTTATTGCTGTCTCTTGATACGCTGAATCGATGCTAAATGCCCAGATGATCCATTCATGAGGACAAATTTACTAACCCAGCCTGACCTAGAAGATTCAGAAGTGGATGTTTTAGTATGCTGAGGTTATCAGAGATTACTTCAGAAAAGGGAAGATCTTATTGCTGTCTGCAACCACCTCATGGGAAGATGTAGGGAAGACAGAGCCAGCCTCTCTCAGAGATGCAAAGCAGAAGGATGGGACACAATGGGGAAAAGTTGAAATATGTGAAATTTCAATTTAATGTAAGGAAAAAAAAAGATTTACCACAAGGGTGGGCAAGCACTGGAACAGGTTGCCCAGAAAGGCTGTGTAATGTCATCTTGAATATGCTTCAAAACATGACTGGTCAAGGCCGTGGGCAACATGCTAACCGGTAAAGAGAAGGCTGGACTAGACACCTCCAGTAGTCCTTTCCAGCCTTTTATGACTACATCCGTAGCCATATTATCAATGATCTTACAGAAGTGCTGAGTCAGAAAAAGTAACAAGACAGACTACCTTCAAAGTTTACAGAAACTGTTAATCGGTACATCTCCACTAAGTAGAAGGGAAGCCATTTTCATTATTTCCACCACTGAAGACAAGCACAACAGCAGAACAGTAACAACAAAGTTACAGAAAACAGGAAAAGATTTAATCTGATTTAGCCATTGAAAAATTGGAATATAGTAAAACTACCAAACAATATTATGATCAAGACAGTACTGAGACAGCAAGTACTGTCATATATCTCTTCCTTTCATTCCTCTTCATTTATCAATCAAAAGTTGAAGAACATCTCCTAGACTGATGCACTTCGGAGCTCTTCAAGGAACACACTAAAGCAGGAAAGTCATGGCACTGCTTCTCTGACTGCAATATGTGAAAAGCTATGTCAAGTTTTATTCTATGAAATAACACTTTTATGCATAAACAGTGCACATTTCTCACAACAAAGTATTCTCTCCTTTTTTATTTCATCTCTGCAACTCTCCTGTTAACCATCACCTTTCCATTTCACTAGGCACGTTCACATTTTTTTCACCATTTGCCTGCTCAGCCAGACAAGTTCCTTTTCTAACTTTCTGAACGCTTCAGACTACTACTCTGTCTGTTGCTAAAGTTAACTTTTATTTTCACATCTGTAAAAAGATGTTTATACAATGGTGTTTCCACAAAACAAGACGACTTACAAAGATGAGAAAAGGGTATGTCACACTCCTGATAACCAGAATAACTAAGTGGTGACAGCTGAAGTACTCGTTTTCCTTAAGGCCCTTCTTTAAAAGTATTCAGTAACTACATGAGAATAAAGTAACAGTGATCTCTGATCCCAGTCTCAAGCCAAAAGGTGATGATCATACTATGATAGATGTGAATCTTCTACCATATGTGTTATTGCAGGACAAAGAACAAATTACAGATAAGAATGAAGGCCACTAATTAACAGCACAATTGACCAGCAAATTTAGGCTGAGAAAGAATTTAGCCAAAGCACAGAAAATGTATAAAAACAGAAAGACTGATAATTTCTGTTATCTTTCTCTTATGCAAACAGGAGATACTAAATAAAACTGAAAGCTACTACCTTCAGAGCAATGAAAGGAAAAATCGTTTGGGACAATTAGACCAGAACTCACTGCTGAAGTTTTCGAGGACAAGGATTTTTCAAGTCTTCAACAATCTAAATGCTGCTTTACCAATGCAGATGCCCCAACAATATGCTTCCCCTTACTTAACAAGGGGTGCAATATCAGCCTAACTCAATTACAACAAATCATACCTTGCAACAGAACAGAAACTTTTGCAAAGTAAAAAACAAACAAGAACAACAAAACAAACAAAAAAAGAACAAAAAGACAAAAAAAAAAATTTGGAAAATATATCCCTTGACAAACTTTTTTTTTTTGCTCACTTGAAAGAAAAAGTACTGTGGAAGGAAGAAACAAGCCACTTGTAAACATACAAAATTCAGAATGGCTATGGTCTGATATGACATTTATCTTCACTCATGAGTAAACACTTGCTAACTCACTTGTGGCTATGCCATTTGTGATTTATCAGACTACTCACTCCTGAAGATAAATGTCATATCAAACCTTAGCTGTCATGTAATCTGGCAGCATTAACTTACAATGTTCAGGCTTATGGGCTTAGATTTCATATTTAGCATTGGTTACCATGCTGTAATAGTAACAGTTACTATTTTTCAACAGTGCCTCGAAATTTGCATAAGAAAAAAAAACAACAACCAAAACCAGAAAGATATGGGCTTTCTTAAAACTCAGCATTTTTTTTAATGTTAATATGACAATACTGTTCCATTGAATATATGTTTTCAAAGAAGCCATGAAGAAAAATAAGACCAGAAGCCACTGGATCACTTATACCACCTGCTCTAAGGAGTAGGTTTGAATCTTATGATTCAATTCTTCCTACATTATTTCACCAGGTCTAATTTTGAACCTTTTCAGTGATGCCTGTTTCATCACTGCCTTTGGGAGCCTGATCTACCATCTAATGATCTGTCTTTCTGTAAGGATATTTCACTTTATAGCCAGCCTAAACCCTACTTTGCTTAATTATATCCTGTTATTCATATTTACACTCTCTCAGACCACTCTAAATAATTCATTGATATCCTTTGATGTTTAAACTCTTATTTGTAAATGGTTTTTATGTTTCTTTTAGTCAGCATTTGACCAAGTTACATGGGTTTAAGTCTCTTAATCTTTTCTTTCAGTCTTTGCTTTCAAGTCTGCCCTTTAATTACCATCCTTTGTTACTTATTTCCAAACAGCATTCTTTGCCAATATACTCCTTGTATTAAGGTACAGCCCACAAATTTCTGAAAGTAAAGTCCATGATAACTAAGAAATACAGCCTAGTTAGTTCTAGGCTGTCTTTCAAATAGGCATACAATTTGTCAAATACAGGCTTTGCTCCTGTCAGTAGATCTCAGACACCTACTGTTCAACAGCCATTTTTACTTAAATTTTATTGTACACCAAATTCTAAGTCATCAAATAAATCTTTATTAGTTCATTATTAGAAACTACTTCTTTTATCCAAATGGCCATATTTTACTCTTTTACTCCTAAGCTGTCTTGCATACAGGACAAGAAGAAAATTATTTCCTGTATGTCACTAAAAAGTGTACAAATTATAATCATTTAAGCTTCAATAGAGAATTAAAAAGCAGAGCAGAACATCCCCATATAATACAATGCTTATTCCGCTTTTGTGTCCTGTCTCCAAACTCCATTACTTTTGGGAGCCTCCAACCACTATGACAGTCTCTGAAAAAGCAATAGTAAACATTTTAGCAATTACTTTTCCAATGTAACTTGGACGATAGCGAAACTTCCCCTCCAGACTCTGTGCACAATTTACTGCAGCAAATGTACAGATGTATTTCTACACATCTTTCCAAATCCCAGATCTGCCTAAATCTTTATATTGCCTTGCATATAATTAAATTCTTTTTAATTAAGATGGGTCACTTTCAATTTCTTACTGTTTCTTTGTCATTTACATTTAATAATTGGCTTCACCCCCAGCAGTACTTTCTCCTTACAATGCAGTGTCAACTCTCTATATAAAGTGCTCATTGATCTCCATTACTCATTGGTCTACTTCAACACATTTAATAGAGAATATCTCTCATTCATAGGAATTTTGCCTGCTGTAACAGCCAGAACAAAACAGGTAATGTCTACATATACAAGGCTATCTAGAGCTCCTGCACCCTAAGAATGACAACTAAGATAAACTTTGAATGCTGCTCTTAGAACAATTTAAAAAAAATGACTGCTGGCTTATCTCACTAACATCTCATCAATAAAATATTAGCCTAAGATTATTCCCTTTTTCCCTAGCTAGCAGTAGTTACCAGTACTAACACTATCTAGCTTTTTAAAGCATAGCTTTTTCAGTTTTGGAACATAATTCTAGTACTTTACAAGCCAGATAAATAAAATAGTCTCCTCGTTTGTATCTACTAGCATTATATATTTTAATGCTGGTCTCCTCTGTGCAATCTACACTGTGTGCTAAACAGCATACACAGAATTCCCATGTTGTAAGATACCTCCATTTAACTGGAAGAAGTATCACCATATCTGACCCCTTTGTAAAAGAGAAAGTGAAAACAAATGAACAACTAACAGATGCCCCACATTTTTAAAGAAACTAGACTCCTGTAAGGTGGCTGGTATAGAAGGATCTATATTCCAAACCAGGCTTGCCCTTCTGCAGCTGGACAGTTTGCAAAGCCAGCTGGAACTCTCTCCAGTGAGCTTCAGGCTTGGAAAGTCTGGAGCTCAGCCAGTTTCCTCCATCAGTGCTGGCCACCCCTAGGCAAGCCAGCTGTAATCTTCCTCTTCCGGACAAGTCCCAGGCAAGATGGCCAGCAGCTCTTCACTATGCTCTGATTTTGAGGAGCACAAAGAAGTGTAAAGAGTGTGATCAGTGTCACTACAAAAAAGTCAATACTTAGGAACAATTACTACTGCAATATAGAGATGCTGCTAGGTTTTCTGCTTGGCACCCGAGTTGATGGTGGTTGTGGTATATAAGATTTTTTTCTTATGCAGTAGATCTTACTGCCTGATGCTGCTTTTGTCTGTATAGAATTAATCTGAAGGCCATTAAGAAGTGATTGGTTAAATGTAATGTTTGGTTCAATTAACTAATTACTGATAAATTGAAAGCAAATACTGAACAACAGTTTTGCAATAAAACAATAAATTACAATTTTTAAGTTATTTGCTCCTCCCTAAATATTTTCTAGAAAACAAATAGTATTAAGCATAGGTTTGCTCCATGCAGTTTGCTACCTTCTGAAAAATGCAGTGATCATTTCATGCACCCAATAAGATGGAAAAAAAAAATAAAAAAATCAATCCTAGACCTATGACTTCCTACAGACACACAAACAACTCCTTTTGCCCATGAGATCAATCTTGACAATACACTATTTTAGCAGTTTTCAGCTCCTTCATATTGCACAGGTATGTCAAATAAGATGACAGAGCGACTCTTCATATTGCTAATCTCTACCACAGTAAACATCATGATTGCTTGCTTTGAGCAAGCACTGTCGTGAGAGAGACACAAGTGTCTTTCCCATAAATTTGACTTTATCCTGCTCAAAAATATTCCACAAGAACTGGAACAGTAAAAATTCTTGTGGACTTACTAAAACATTTTTATTCTATGTCAGTGTTTGGCAAAAGGTGGGGTGCAACCAGCAAAGCAGGTATAAGAGTGTTTATATTGGGCTGCGAAACACTGGGAAAAGCTGTGTTACCCAGCAGTAGGTTAGTCCTAAGATTGTTGCATAAAGTAAGTCTATGCTGAGTGGCCGTTAACATTTATACTTTCAAGAAACCTGTCAGCTGCTCTGAGAAACTGCCTTCCCCAGAAAAAGGGGTAATTTTTACATCTACTGCCTGTAATTGCAACCTGTTCCTGCTCCCTACCTTGAAGAACCAAAGTTATTGTCAATTCAGTCTTACACAGACGTAACTGAACAGAGACTAACAAAGATAAATCATAAAGAAGTCAAAGAAAGCCTAAAAAACTCTATTCTAATTAATGCAACAGTCCAGTAGAGGTAGGGAGAACCCGTCTTAGAAAAAGACAGACTGCAAGTGGCTGAACAAAAAGCAGCCAAGGTAAGGTACAAAACAGCCAAATGTCTGTGTACTACAAAAGCCAGAGTCAGAAGTCTAAGCACGTAAGATGTTCTTACACATTCAAACCATGCTCACTAAAGGATGGTAAAATTATATTAATTTCATTTTAAAGCTAGTAATTTAGCTTCTAGAAAGTATTTGTAAGCTTCAAAAGACATGGCTTTGCTGGTGTAGGCATTTAGATTGTGCACTGCTACTTTTAAATTAAAGTAAAAGAAATATTTCTCTCTTCACACACCCTACAAATTATTTACATCCTTTACAGAGCTTATAAGCTCAAAGACAGATCACTGTAAGGTTTTACATTATCATATGTGCATTTCTGAATCATGGTAATATGATTCAGACAAATTTTTGCCAACCTGATACACCTTCTTGAACTTGTCAATTTGATTTTGAAATCTAAGTCAAATATTTCATTCATACATACATGGAAACCACGGACAAAACTCTTACATCTGTGCCTGAAGGATGATAATGCCTATGTAAAATTAAGGCCTTGTAAAAATCTTAAACCTATTTTAATTACCACTGTAAACACACATGCAAGATCCTATGTAACAGCAGGATAAATTCACCACACTGAATGAGTAACTGACTGTAAAGTTGCCTTATTGATAGTGCCTTCAAAATAATACTCTAGAATGTACAACAGTACCATATTTCAGTAAATAACAAAGTACAGCACTATTTCTAAAAATTCTGGTACAGTACAGCTATTCTTCTACAATATTTTATAACTATGTGTAGAGGAATTTAAAATAAGAATTTTTATGCAGATGAATCTAAACAAAGCAGCATATCTAATGACATAGTAAAAATTATACCCATCTGCAAGTCTTGAAAAGCTTTCTGTTCTACATTTGTAACTAACTCACATTCCACCGTGCTCATATAACAATCACTGTATCCCAGACAAGAGCATAGTTTCTTGTATTTAAGCTATGCCAATAACATTGCCTGAACTAAGTTCACATACATGTGTACTGCCATAAAATGACGAACTACTAAATATCACTGAATGATACAAACAAAAAAGTATTTTCCAAAACAAGCTGCAATAAAAATAACACTGAAAATTGCTATTCAGCTTAAGAAATTCTCTTTTATACTACAGTACCTACCAGTTGTGAACTCTGATTTGACTGTACCACCTTAACCTGAGGAGGCTGCACTGTATTTGATACAGAGACTGTGCAAACGTTGTTTGGTTGCCTTATTCCCATTGTCTGTGTGGTGACAACAGAGGAAATGCTTCCAGAGGCAGACTGAGGTATAACTTGTGACAGCTTGGTTTGTTGAAGTGACTGCTGAGACGGCTGTCCTTGCAAAACTGAATGTTGACTATTCAGTAAAGATTGTCTCAGTGCAGGTAGACTTTTCTAAAAACAGAAGAAAGTTTATGAAATACCAAATTTAGCATGCAGACCAAAAAATACTTTGAAATTTGCTGTAAACATAATAAAAAGAATGCAGCTTGCTTTCCCATTTTACTATTGGCCTATTCATCAAAAAGAAGATTGAGCATATCTTGTAAGAGGCAGGAATCAATTCAGACTTTTAATAAGCTTTCAATTTAGATTTTGCAACCTGTCAATTTTGATGTGCCCTAACTCCACCATAGCCATAAAACAGAACACTCGCCTCCCCAAACTATCTAGAACTTGTAGCTTAGGTCTTTGGAAGGGTAACAAATTGAAACAGAAAAGGCAGAACTATAAGAACAGCCCCAGTCCCACTGCATGCTAGAAGAAGTAAGCTGCACCAATTTACTTCTGACATGCCTCGAGTACCTAGAACAAGATGATACAACTGCTGATGCCTTACAGCAATAGCTGTTTACTGTATTTTTACTGATCTAATGTATTCTGACTGGATTAGAAAAATGTACTATTGTATGCTTCATGTTCAGACCAGTTCAAGCAAAAACAGTTCTAAAAAGCTATACTGTACCTTCACAAACAAACTTTTTACTTTTTAAGTAGCGGTTTTACTTTTGAAGTGCTCCCCCCAGGCAGCTGTAGAATGCAAGTGTGTTTATCCCAAGCTACAGTTCTTTCTAAACTTCTAGTATTTATTTAAAAACTTAATGCCTTTCTGTTGCCAAGAAAGAACTTCAAAGAAAGGAAACAAGTTAAAACTTATCATGATTCTATAAATGACTGCAGTGTCACAGCAGGAAAAGGCACAAATAAGGGTTAATAATAACTCAAAAAAACACAAGCAGAGGGCGAGAGTTCTGACGAAAAGTTGAAGGGGAAAAAAAAAAATAGTATCTGCCCTAAACTGAGAAGCTCTGGACTAGAAGAAAAATGTTTCTAGAATTACAGTTGTGGTTTTGTTGGGGCATAATTAAACATATTTTGTATGTTTGCATATAATCTTTTATATAGGTGCTTTTGCAGCTGACATACATGAACTAAATAAAAGTTTACCCCACATATACTAATTTAGGACCCTACAATAAATCCATCTGGTATCACATCAGAACTTCCATCTTAAATTAATTGCAGAGTACAAGAAAGATCAATTATTTAAAATATACTTTTAAAAGTATATTCTAAAACTTCATGTAATGACATTTTATGGAAATAAATTTATATAAGCAAGATTTGCATTACCTTAAGGAAAGGTACAAGATATGGCTGAGGAGACGATTTGAGCTCCGACTGAAGGCGGGCTGTAAATTCTTCTGGATCAATCTTCGCATCCTTTAGGGGGAAAGAGAAAAAGCGTCAACAACTCATCTGAGTTGTTTTGTTGGGTTTTCTTCTATATAAGTATATGCATATATCTCTAGCTAAATGGGCTACCATATCAAGAACAACTTCCAAAGCTGAAGCCCCTCAACTCCTGCGTATCTATAAAATCCTTCTGTCAAGAGCTAACCTACATATGCAGCAAGCCCCTTGGAATTCAGGAAGTTCCCTTGAGCATGTACAATTTAAGACACAATGAACTCCCATACACTTAAGTCTTTTTTGGGATTCCATTCTCATGCTAACATTTACATAGTGGTTTCTTCTTTTAAAATTAAAAGACTGATAAAAAAAAAACAGGTTGTTGAAATAACCTTACCAACTATTATAAAATTTGCCAGCCCTTTTAATATGAAAATTACCTTTACTTAATTCCAAAACCAATTTTGAGGGTTCAATTTAACTTAGAATATGAGTATGCATATACACATATAGATATATATACACATATATATGTAAAGCATATGCATATATACAAAGTATGCGTAAAAGTATATATATAAAATTTTCACCTGCATAAATGTATATATATGCATATTCACAAAACATACAGGTTTAAATATACAAAATATATAATTGTTTGTTTAGCAGTGAATACAGAAAAACTCTGTAATCAAGGTATATTTTATAATACTTCTGAACTATTATTAGTTACAGTCTCAGGTTGTAAAAAAAGACATAGATTCGCTTTCCTGGACTGATACAGAACAAGAACAAAAACAAACAAAACCAACCTTCAATAAATGAATTTATTATACATATGTCTTATTAGTTGGTTTAAAATACTATAGTCATTACCTTTACTTAGGTAATCTTAGTTTTCAAAAGTAAAAACAAAACTGGAATCATTAATATTACTGTTGAATGACTCCTATGTGAAAAAAGTGTTAGACTTGTCTAAACACACAGGTTACTCTGTCAATCAATTCAAAGAAATATGCATCAACTGCTTTTACATCCAAGTTCTTCATAGGCTATATTTAATCTTTTTTTAAGAAGCTTGACCTTTTGGCCCAGCTCGACAGTGACTTTATGTGTGCAACTCATTTATACAATTCACTGAAATGCAAGTTGTACTGGAGACTGTAATTCAGACTTTTTCTGGGCCTGAGGATTCTATCTAGCTGAAACACAACTTTGCCTTTTGAAATCCACTTGCAGTTTAGGCTTCATGCAGGGGCATCTGCCTGCAGAACTGCCTGGACTCAGCAGCTCAGCAAAACACTTCTACTTCAGCCCTATAAATTATAAACCACATTGTGAAGGCATGCATTTAAATTCATTCTGTGGTTAAAACATTAAATAGCTTCTTACTGTTTCAGAAAAGACTACAGTTTGGGGGAAAAGAAACTGAGTGAGAACTCAAGGAAAATACCGTATTTTACTATCTTTACCTAACTAAAAGACCACAGTATTACCCATCAAAACAAGAGTGTTCTCCACAAATGCATATAAACTGCTTTGTTGCATTTCCCCCTTCAGAAATCGAAGGGACAGTCTACCCTTAAGAGACTTTTGAAGATATGTAATATGCAGAATATTTGCATTTTGATGCAGCCCTTCATTTACATTACAGAAAAAAAAACCAAAAAAAAACCAAAGATTAAAGCAATAGTCCTTAGCGTATGCAGATAACAAGCTTAATAGATAAATAACAGAATGAAAGATAACTATTTACCAGCAAATCTTGAACCAGAGCTTTCACATTACGGGATGTTTCTGGAGATGGTGAATTATGAGAAGCAAGTTTTATAAGGGTAGCTAAAAAGTTTTTGCATTTTTTCACATTCTCTTGCATTTCCTGCAAAAGCCAAAGAAAAGAAACATCAGATACATGCTATTCTGCAATCAGGATCAATGCATGCTCTGATCACTATAATTAGGAAAAATGATGAAATTGTTCTAATTGAGGCAGGACATTGAAATACATCTGCTGGTATTTTGCTCTTGCTTCTAGTCACCTGACATTTTCTTACCTTTTTTACGTAACTGAACATCATACCTCACAAATACTAACAAAAACAAAAGAGAAAAAAGAAGGAAAAAAAAGAAAAAATGTATTTAATAGTTTACAGTCTGCTTTGATGAAAACAACCTTAAATATGAGTAGTATATCTCCAATAACAACCTGTTGGGGGACGCATTCTCCTTTAAGAGCCCAATACACAATGTACAACATTTACCAAGCTGTCTTAATTTGTTAAATTATCGATTCAGTATGATTCTGTACAATGCAGCTACAGCACTAAAATCAAATTAGAAATAGACTTCAAATATCACCTTATTTAATCTTTGAAGGAAAACAGATGCTTTAATTTTTTCAAGCCTTTATTTTTATGTGGTATAATTATTCATGGAAATGGAAACACTTCAGTGTAACCACAGTTTTGAGGCCCAGTAACATAATAATGAAGTCTGTAAGACTGAAGGCCTGATTGTTCTGTCAGCAGAAAGAGGATAGTTGTTTCACTACTGACCACAAATGTTCATCCTCCCTCGCAGAATATGTATCCTATTTAGCTGAAATGAGTGGAAGGGTTTCTTGTTTGTAAAGTGTTTGTTCCATCAAAGGAAGAGTGCTGGCATGAGGAAAAATTCTTCCTGATTCTGAATAGGCCTGAGAAGTTTAAAAAGTACTAAGAAAACCAAGTTTCTAATATGTTAAAGCTTACCTGTGATACAACTGTAGTTCCAGCTACAGGAGAGCTTGGTATGACGGGGGGCTGTGCTGGTACTTGTGCTGTTGTATGAGGTGGAACTGGCAGCCGAGGCTGACCCTGGGTTTGTGCTGAAGCTTGAGTTTGTCCACCAGTAATTACTGCAAGTTGTTGAGAAGCTGATGCTCCAGTTGCTACTGTTGCCTTGAATAAATTCTGAGCACTCGTCGTAGCTACTGATACCTGTTCATATTTTATATTGAAAAAACCCTAGGTAATTATCTTCCTTTAATTCTTTTACTCAACCATAAAGTTTCTCAAAGCCTGACAAGAAAAACTTGCTTCTTTTCAAATACAGCCTTACTGATAATATAAAACCATTGACTTTACTTGCTTTTAACCCTAATTTTGCTACTCTTCACTGAACAGTGAAGTCCTCTTTTGATTATATAAATGAATGTACAACTAAAAATTAGTTGCTATTATCCAGCAGTTTAAGATCACCACAATGATGTGACTTCTGCAACACAACTTGCTGTAAATTTGTCTCTTAACACAAACAAGTCAATTCCCAGCGATCTGTGGTCATGTCATCAGGTTTACACCAGTGTCATGTCATGTGGATATGAGCTGTTGCTGTACACAGTTACAAGCCAACCATGCACCTGCACTGTGATGCTACAGATGCCATGGATCCTGCAGCATCAGCGACCACACAGCGGATATCACCACTCTCTACAGGGGCAAATGAAGTGCAACATGTCCACTACTGAGATGGCATGTGAGTCCAGCTGATTTAAGTTTTTTCTTTTAGAAGAAGCTTAAACTGAATCTATAGTACCCGCAATTTTTTATCTAGGAAACAACAGAAAATAAAATCTAGGCTACCACTCAGGACCTGTGTAACAGTCTGACTATACATTTGTTATCAATTTCTGAGATTATGTTTGTGATAAAAACAAACATAGAATCGTAGAATGGTCTGGGCTGGAAGGGACCTTAAAGCTCATCCAGTTTCAACTCCCTCCCATGGGCAGGACACCTCCCACTAGACCAGGCTGCTGCAAGCCCCATCCAACCTGGCCTTGAACACTGCCAGGGATGGGGCAGCCACAGCTTCTGTGAGCAACCTGTGCCAGCGTCTCACCACCCTCACAGGGAAGAGCTTGTGCCTAATACCTAATCTAAATCTCCCCCTTTTCAGCTCAAACCAGTTCCCCCTTGTCCTACATGAACACTAAACATCAGAACCTTAAATTCACTTTGGAAAAAAAAAAACATGTAACTACAAACATCCTTTTCTTCACACACCTTATGGTTTCTGTATTGTTACTACTCACTGTGGTCTGGGCAAGAATAGAGCCTCCTGGCAGAGTTGCAGCAGATGTAGCACTGACAGGTGCAGCTGACTGAACAACTTTGGCTTGCACTGGAAGTCCCAGGCGGACAGGAGATGTGGCTACAGAAGTTGGTTGCTAATAAAGGAAAAATAAGCATTTTATTGGTTTTCCTCTTTAGTAATTTGATCTCTCTAAGACACTTTAATGATAGTGATTACATGAGGAATCATTATTAATGCTGAAAAAAAAAACAACAAAACCAGTAATAAGTTTTAAATATATATTCACAAATAATGTAATAATGAGCTTTCTTACACTTAATGGCATATTTTTAATATTTCTGCTAAAAAACTATTTCTCTTACAGCTTTGTGGAAAAGATCAGGAAAAACAGGACATGACCTGAAAAAAAAAATTGGCATTACATCGATGCATTAGTTCAGTTGTAACATTTACTGGTCAGTATTCATCAATATTTTGGTTCATAATTGCCAGTAACACATATTGCTCATTTCAGTATTTGCTGGTCTGTTCTAGTCCTTTTCCTTAAGGAAAATGAGTATGGAGAGAAAATCCAGAGAGCAGAAAAACACTTTCAGATTAAATTATACAGAAACTAACTTGTGCAGAAATGAAGTCTAAACATTAGGAAAACCTTTGTCACAGAAAGAACACTGTAACCAGATCAGAATGTCAAGTGCAAACAAAGGAAAATTACTGGCTTAAAGCTTTTCACTCAGTAGCATACTCTACAACTCTGTAAATTTGTCTCGTGCAGCAAACATGCTGGTCTTGCAATTTAACTGGGAGACCAAAATCTCTTACCATCATACAAATGGACAAGATTTAGGAATAAAAAATATCTTCAGGTATGTTGCTATTTAATTCTACAGGAAAGTAAACATCATTATGGAAGAAATACATCACACAATGTGGCAATTTTGACAACAAGAGAACCACTCCTTACCAAAAAATGGAGCTCCCCCGGTCTCTTATACCTTGCATTTATCAAGATTTGCATTCAAACAAATACTCAGAAACGGCAAATTTTCTAAGTGGCTCTAGTAAATAAATTCATGGAGAATACTGTTTCTCACAAGATAGAACTAATATTTCCTGATTGAAATTTTAATTTATGTATCTTCTGTTAATATTTTTATAAAAATATAGCTTATTTTTGATTCTTACATTTTATATTAAGCCTACATAAAATACTTCTTCAAGGAACAGCCAGTATGCTTAAGAGATCTCCAAAAGGAACAAAGGCCCAGGAAGGCATTCAAAGCCCCAAGCATTCCTTAACAATCAGTCCAGCATCATCATCTACTGGATATCAACCTTCTGTACTCGGGGGGGAGGGGGGGGGGAAGGGAAAGGAAAACAAACAAAAAAATCTGAGATCTAAACAAAACCTTTTTGTTTGTTTCAACAGCTTTCAAGATTGTAAAAATATTGACTAGAGTTGTCTTCCATACTGAGCCTAGAAACAATAAACAGCATCATGATGAATAAGTAGAATGTCTGGGGTTTTTTTTGAAGAATGATCATATAAAAGCCTTTTCTGGTTTTCAGTATCATACCCCTTTTCTTCATTGTAAAGATCACTTGCTTCAATTTCCTTAAATACTTGTTGAATAAAATTGTATTTACCTGATGACTGGTATAACTAAAAAAAAAAAAAAAAAAATCCAAAAACCAACCCAGAAATACTGTGTATCAGTGTTTCCAACCTAAAAATGCAGCATGTCTGTGGTATCTGCCCCCTTGTCAGTGCTTCCAGAGCTGAGGATATACTAAGCAAGCAGACGACCAGGCAAACTTCTGGAAGCTACTCAGTTCCAAGAAATACCTGAAGCCAGAAATCTGTAAATACAAAGAGCTCAGACTGCTAACTAGAGGGTTGGGGTTTTTTTCCCTCATCTAATAAATGCCCATGATTCATCACAGGAACATACATGAAAGCAAAACCACATGTAATTAGAACATAAAATTTCATTATCATAACAGTGTGTTATCCAACTAGGTATACATTCTACTGTGCTAGACCACATGAGCAGACTGTGCAACATGAAGACTAAATTTACCCTCAGTCTTAAAATCAATAGTGACAAAAGCCTTTGTTACAAAATGGCATTAAAACCCCTTATTTTAATGTGTTGGATATGAAATAAAAGCCTTACTACCACAAAACTGCAAACAATGTAATGCAACAGTTTACTACCGTGGTCCCAAAACTCATAAATGTTAAAAATGGTAACTATGAAATACAGGGATGAGAAACATAACAAGCAACTAGCCTAGAGAAATCCTTAAGTATCATGGAAACAATCTTCAAATGACAGCTACAAGTTGCCAGAAGACACTCCAAGGACTCTCAACACAAATGCTTCAAGAACAACTGGTAAAACTGTTTAGAAACAAATAGCTGTGTTTTCTATGAAAGGAAAGCTGTAAACAGATCTCATGAGAATCTATCAAACAGAAAACAAAAGTTATCATCATGTTAAAAAAAAAAAAATCATAACCCAACATGTCGAGCTCCTACTGGAAAAAGCAAAAAGAATTTATGATGTTTTTTAACCTGCTGAGGTTTGGTATGATGCTGTTAAATTCCCAAATTAAAGAGGAGCTTAGAATGCAATATATTTTCACACATAATTATTATTTTTGATTAGACGTATCACATATTGCTACATTTCCTGAATATATTAAGGTAATGTTTAAGAGGCTTTTTCCCCTCCACTCAGGCATTAACAGGTGGGAAACTAGAAACTGAGTGAATACAGGGTACAGTCCACCACCAACTTCCACAGGGACACTTGAGAATGCTTATGATAGCCTTTTGCATACAGACATGATCTGTCTCTCTCTCTTATGGTATATATGTGAGTACCCAACTTGAAATGTGAAGTTTGTGACCAGGAGCGGTCATGACTACAACTGAAGACAATAAACTCAAGCTCAATTAAAAAACAAAAACAAACAAACAAAAAAAAACAACAAAAAAACCCAAACCCGAAACAAACCAAAACCACAGTATTTTTAATTTAGTATTTTTAAATAGAGACAGTAAGGTTGTTTTCCATTTATAAAAAAAAGAGGTTGATAACCCCCTTAAATACATTGTTGAGAAAGCTGTTACAGGGATAAGCTTCACAAAAAAAAAAAAAAAGAAAAAAAATCCTGTTCGGTTATTAATTCCCACTTCAGAGGGGGACTTAGACAGTGTGCAACAATTAAGCCTGAAGAAACCCACTGAACAGTGGGAGACACTATTAGATTACTCAGGAACCTTCTTTATATCATTTTCTAGTCTTTGCATGTTTAGTTTTACAGCTTTACTATTATTTGAGTGTCTTCTAAGAAGTTTTAGAAGATACGTTAACACTATGAAAGTGTAAGCAGTAGAATTTGTAAGTAGTGAGAACTTACTATCTGTTTATACAGAAAAGATCACCTCACCATGAAGAGAAGAAAAATTTTTTGTGGTTAAAGCACAGTCAAGACCACACATTTTTTTACTTTCTCTGACCTTCCAACCTATCTGCCCTGCTAACTCCAATCTGTTCTCCAGAATATTGTGCAAGAAGCCCAAAAACTGACTACAAAAGAAACAGCACAGAATAGCCTCTTTGATAACAATGTACCTCAGGCAACAAAAAAGATCTATCAATTTGCTTTAAATGTTTGCAAAAAGCAAAACAAGCATTTGTCAAAAAAGCAGTAAGAGTGTGAAAACCAGTTGAAAAATAAACAAGAAAAATACTAAAAGATGACATAAAAGTAGAAACACTGCTGAAAACAGACAGTGGAAGTATGTCATGTCAAAGGCTCTGCTTTAGCAAGACCAGCAGCTTGTGAAACATCAGCCAAGTTTAGAACTCCTCTCAACACTATATATGATGGCAAAGACTAAACTGCTGTTGCCTGCACTGAGCATATTCCATAGCAAAGAATACAGCCACTTTCAGAGCAGGTGATTCAGCACTTTTCGCAAGTTCAAAAGACTTATTTTAATAAATGATGGTAAAGGGAAACTTAACAGAAAGTGAATAACAAAATACAGGAAACAAATCAGTGAAGTTTAGATCACAAACTTGAAATTCTGAAGAGTAGAACTCAGAAAATGCCTAAAGCAAGACGAAATAAAGCTAGAAAAGAATTATCATTTTCTTAAAAAATACATATACATATCTGTCGATTGGACAACTTATGCCACAGAAGCAAAACTCAAGTGACTGGTAATTATATTTGTAACAGAGGAATTGTTAAAGAAGAAGAATTGTTAAATAGCCTACTTAGATGCTGTGAGGGACTAAACCATCAAACTTTACATGTAACTTCACACTACATTTTCTGATCACTAAAATATACAAAGCAACTTAATGCTGGAAAACACATTTTGAATCAAACTTGAAACAAAATTATTAGTAAAGTCGTACGACCAAAATTCCAATATATAGAACAAAAATTCCAATATACACTATCTCCCCTGATTTTTAAGTTCCAGCAACAGATATTCTGTAATAAAATATTATGGGTGAGGCTAACACTGGTCTTTCCTGTACAATACTCACTTCATATTCTCAATGGACAGTAGCACTTTAATTTTGTAAGTAATAAAATAATTTTAGTTTAAAATAATTTTAAGTATGTAACTTATTTTTTGCTTTTTATTAATATAAACCCAGTTGGGTATTAAGATACTGAAAACTAGCAAACAAGCTGCATGAAAAGCATGAAATGCCATAAACTGCACAAATGAAAAATGTAAACAAAAGAAATGCAACAAAGAAAAACTAGATGGCAGCACCTACCTATTTTTCATAATTTCACAAGTGTAAGCTTCAAAACAAGATGTGGAGGCAAAAATTTAACGTCATCAAACAATCTGTTTTAGAAGACTTCTAAATGTACTTATTACATCTGAAGAATATAGTAATTCAAGCAAACCCATGCTTATTTGACCTGCTTCCAATGCAAGAATCCAGAACAATTTTTTTCTAAGATCAACCAAAGTTCCATTACATTAGAGCATGTTTCCTCAAAATCCTGTACCTTAACTAAGACCCTATAAGTAGATAAAATTTTGGCCACATTAATATTTTTTTTAATACCCATCTTAAATTGTCAATC